GTGAAGCTCTCTCACATTTCCCAGCACTTCTGACACATCCCAAAGAAAAAATTAATAAGGTGAGCAACACCAGGGATTTTACCTGATGGAGAACTTTTCTATTTGAGCTGGGGTTCCACGTTGTGTGGTGTCATAAAGATGTGAGTAATCGACTCCTTCCACCGGTTTGTGGCAAATTTCAGCAAACACTGATGTTTTTTTTCTGGAAATTAATATCCATAGGGAAGTCTCTCAGGAGCTGCAGACTTGTGCTTGACAGGAATATCAATGTTTGTAGGAAATCAAAGCTTTCTCTTATAAATCTGGCTGTTGACTTGTGTAGGAGTTCTCAATTCTCAGTACATGAAATGTCACCTTAATTAATTAACCTGACTCTCTCAGAAGTGATGACACAGAGATAATTGGGTGTGTTTGGGTGGAGTGTGTGTGAGAAGGGGAGCTGAGGCAGAGCCTGGGTGGGGGTTGTGTGTGGGGTGTGTGGGGGGCTCTCGTGGGGGCACTGATGGCAGTGCTGAGCCAGGAGTGCATCTGAGGCGTGTTGGGCACCTCGGGGCCCCTCTGCAACACTGCCTGTGATTAAAGCCCCAAAAAAGCCCACCAGGAGAGCCCCAGGCAGCCCAAATGTCTCCAGGGTCACCAGTGATCCTGTGATCTGATCTCAGAGAGTCAGGGATGAACGCTGCTGAAGCTTCTTGCGAAATTCTCAGATAAAAAGTTCTCATTCAGGGAGGCTGAGAAGGGAGTTGAATGCTGGAGGATTTCTAGGAAGAGAGAAATCTCATCAGCTGTAGGATTTTAAAAGGTTGATACTCTGAATATACTAAAATTGTATTGAAAACTGTTACTTCTTGATTAAAGTTTAGATTCCCACTCTAAAAGGGAGGTGAGGGCCCTGAATTTAACTCAGGGAGGGGCTGCTGAGGGAGAGATCTGCTCTTGCTTGCCTGGGAGTAGAGTCCTGGCCTTGTGGACAGAACGAGCATAAAGAGTCCAACTTCAGAGTATTGTTAAAAGTCAAGTGTTTAATTCAAAGTGCTGCATTTTCCTGAAGCTAAGAAGAGCCCTTAGGAAGCAGGTAAAGAACTGTCATGTCTGGAATACAGGATTCTGCCAGGAAATCAGCTGAGACCTGCTAATTGGCAGTGCTGGAAGTGATCAGAAGTGCTCATTTGGCATTATCTCTCTCCAAATAATTTCTCCTTTTAATTTGAAGTATTTGGTTGAAGCTGGTAATAACAGTGAAAGGCTGAGGAGTCTTGTGGAGTCTCCTGAGGTGAGATTGTCCCTTTGGTTTGTCTCAGCAAGAATTCAGCTCTGCACAATGGAGCTGATGGAATGCTTGGTTGTGTTCAAGGTTGCCCAGTTGCAGTGGACATAAATGATGTAAAATCCTTCTGTGAATTAATTCCTGATGTTTTATTTTGCAGGAAGCAGTGTGGTTCCTATCTAACATCACTGCAGGAAACCAGCAGCAAGTTCAGGCAGTAATAGATGCAAACCTTGTTCCAATGATAATCCATCTTCTAGATAAGGTCAGATCCCAAGGATTGGTGGTGGGCTTCAAATCCTGCATTCCTTTCCAGCTGTTGGGTGTCTTTTAAAAGTGACTTCCCAAACCACTCTGTGCTGCCAAGGATCTGCTGTGGCAGAAGGAAGGAACAGCTAAAAGCATGTGGGAATTATTTAAGGGAAAAGACAAATAACCCAGAGCTGGTCACAAATTGCTCTGTTAATTGATCTGTGAGAAAAGATTGGAGACTTTTCCATGTAATCCCAGCCCTGAGCTGCTGCAGCAGCCCCAGCTGCAGCATGTGCAGGGCTTTATCACAGCTTTATCACCCTGGGCTCAGCTGGCCTGCAGGATGTGACAGCTGCTGATAAGGGCTGGCAGCGTGCAGGGCTGCAGCTCTTCTTTGCCTTGATGTAAACAAAGTTCCCTTCCCTGGCAGATCAATTGCAGACCTGGTTGTAGGGAGGGATGAACACAGAGAGAATCAAAGAGGATTTATTTGTTACCTCACTCTAAACTGCTACAGTGACACCTTGCAGAGGGGACTGTAACAAATGCAGCTTTTGTGGGAATCCTGCCTGGCACTAAGCCTGGAATGACTGTCCTGTCTCTGCTTGTGCTTCCAGGGGGATTTTGGGACTCAGAAAGAAGCTGCTTGGGCAATAAGCAACTTAACAATCAGTGGGAGAAAAGACCAGGTGAGTCCAGCTTTGGGAAGACTTCCATGTCCTGCCTTGGGAGGTGCTGGGGCTATGGGTGTCTGTTCAGTAACTTGCCCTTCTCCTCGTGGGATTTAAGTGACCTCCCTGTGTTTTGGGGTGCCCTGAGGTCAGGAGCATCCCTGGGGTTTGTTGGGAGCTCTGTTGGGATGAGTGACTTCAGTCAGGCTCTGATGGGATTCTCAAGCATTCCACATTTCTTTTTACCTTTTTTTCCCACACCATGAGGATGTGATCATTAAAAGGACAAATGAGTAGGACACACAAGTCCCTTGTAAGCCCAGAGTAAGAGATTTGTGACAGGGTTGGGGTGGTGCTGTCACTCTTCAAAGGTGAGGGTAAAACTCCTTATCTGACACTGAAAAATTCACAGTATTTGCTCCTTGGGTGTTGTAAACCTCAAATCTATTTGTAATTTACTACCCAAAATGTGCCAAAAAGGGGTTCCTGAGGTGGCCACTGCAGAGTGCTCTGGGCTGGTGGTGACTGTGACTCCTTGGGTTTGCTGGGATGTGTTTGCCTGTGCTGCTGCCACGTTCCTGCTGTAACTCTTGGCTTTTCCCTCCTCAGGTGGCTTACTTAATTCAACAAAATGTAATTCCTCCCTTTTGCAATTTGCTGACAGTAAAAGATGCACAAGTTGTGCAAGTGGTTCTGGATGGACTAAGTAATATATTAAAAATGGCTGAAGAGGAAGCAGAAACCATAGCCAATCTTATAGAAGAGTGTGGAGGTAGGAGGAGCAAGATTTTCACACCTTTTCCAGGGATTGCTGCTTTGGCATCCTGCTTGTGTTGGGTTTATTGTTGGCACAGATATTTTAAGCAAACCTGTTTTAAAGCACCCTTTTCATACCTGTCAGGTGAATATCCACAGCTTTTCCTAAGCTCATGATCAAATAAAATGTGGAGGAGCAGGATAATGGCAGTAAAGTTCATTAGGTGCTAATTTTGTAACAGTCTCCATATTAGACAAATCAGTCTAATTAACAGAAACTAAATTAGTCAGTGTGGGGGTGATGTGCTTACCTTAATCATGCACGAGTCATATCCAGGTGAACTTGGAAAAAAGAATTCTACATACAGTGGTTGTACACATGTAATAACTTTAATTTCCTCGTGCTTTTGAGACTTTCTCCATATTCTTTGTGGTTTAAGTTGACTGAAACTTGTCAGGGATGAAAGAACAGTGATAGTAAATTTGGGCACAGGTAAAAAACTGTGGGATATGGTAACATGGAGTAGAATAATCCTTAAAATACCAAATCTGTGCACTGAACTTCTGTGTTTAGATGTATAAAATATATATAAATGTGCCAGGTGGGTTTAACAGCATTTTATTCATAACCAGATCGTTCATAACTCTATTCCCAATGTATTTTTTAATTTCTTTGTTGGAAGTGGTTTGGCCTGACTTTGGTGGTCTGAGATCTCTTGTGTGTTGGTTGCAGGCCTGGAGAAAATTGAACAGCTACAAAACCATGAAAATGAAGACATCTACAAACTGGCTTATGAGATCATTGACCAGTTCTTCTCCTCAGATGATGTGAGTGTGCAGCTCCCTGCAGTGGGCTCATTGTTTTCATTTACAAACCTGCTGCAGGAGAAAGGCAGCAGGGCTGGGCTCAGGGGGGAATTTGAGCCCTTGTGTGAACCTCCTGCACCTCCTGCCTTTGCTATGATGAAGCATCTAAAGAAGATCTGATGCCTAATTTAAGCCTCATCTCTAGGGATTAAAATCCCAGGCTGTGAATAGTTCCCTTAACTCTCAGTTGACATTTCTCATTTGATAAGCTCCCTGCTGACTGCAGGGCTGAGGCTGCTGCTTAAGAAACAAAGCAGTTGGAATATCTGAACAATTCCAGGGGTGGAATGTGCTGATCAGGAGCGTTGTTCCCATTTCAGCCATGGAACATGAGCCAAAGGCAGGGTGATGTGTGTGCACTTCCAGTCAGGAAGCTCACTGCTGGAGGGGAAGGGCAGCCCTGGCAGCCTGTGCCATGCAGGGAGGGCTTCCTGCTGCCTTGAACACTGCAGAAGTGGTCGGGTTCAGCTGCATTCATGGCCTGCTTTCACTTGGAAGCTCATTTTGTGCTGGATTTCACTTTGGTGTGAGCAGTAGGATCCAAGTCTTGTCTAGCAACTCAACTTTGGCATTTACGGCTGGACTTGGAATTTAATCCAGTGTCAGTTTGGGCTTAGTCCTTCCTTGGCTTAGTGGTGCTGGTCCTCTCCTGAGAACTGGGACAGTTTCTGAGACTGCCAGAAGGATTTCCAGGAGAGAAGGTTGTGTCACCAAGAGGGTTTGGGGTGCCATGTAGCCCTCCCTGACAAATACAAACTAAAACATTTGGGTTTAAATCGCTTCATTTCAGTGCTCTCACTAAACTAGGGGAGGGATGGCAGGACTGGGTGCAAGGAGGTGAAGGGAGAGCTGCTTTTGGGACTGTCCAGCTGCTGTGTAGGGGGGTTTTGTTGTGTCCCTGCTCACGATGTCCCCGTTGCATTCCAGATTGATGAAGATCCAAGCCTTGTTCCAGAAGCAATCCAAGGCGGAACGTTTGGTTTCAATTCATCTGCCAACGTACCAGCAGAAGGGTTCCAGTTTTAGAGTGGTATTTTGGAAGTTTAGGTACAATGCAGCACTGAATAAAAAAAAAAAAAAGGTTTGATCCATCAATCTTGGCTCATGGGATCCGCTGCTGCATTAAATCGGGAAAGTAAATGTGAAGATTTCATTTGGAATCACAGAAAAGCCCAAATGAAGTCAAGATGGCGAGTGGGTGCGAGTGAGAATGAGTGGCAAAATGTAATGACAAACTTCACACTGAATGCTTCTTTAGATTGTTCAAAGAAAAAGGGCTACAGGTCACAGATCTTCAGTGCCTGAGAAGGAACACCGAGCTCCCGGAGCAGCGGGGGGACGCAGTACTCTCATCATCAGCCTCGTAAGCATCAGAGAACAGGATGCCCACAGCAGGGAGAGGAGCCCAGGCCTTGCTCTGCAGCCCCGTGTGAATGGCCAGCGAGGAGTGAGTGTCTGCACCCGCTGCCCCGGGCCAGCCCGCGCCGCCCCCGGGCCCTGCCGTGCGAGAGGAGAGTGCCTGTGATGTGTCTGTGAGCGTGCGAGCCTGAGTCGCCTCCAGGGGCTGAGAAACCGAAAATCATCCAATGAGTTCACAAGTGTTGACTTACACTGGACACACCGAGACCGGTTTAGCAGCAGACTCTGGTTTACTCCTGCAGCCTGTGTTTTCCTCTTTTTTTTTTTTTTTTTGTTTTATTTTATTTTAAATTTTTTTCCCTCTTCTTTTTTTTTCTTTCAGTTCTTTTTAATTTCTTTTTCCTGTTACGGCTTCTTAGTTGTTTGTAAAGTCAGAATTTCAGGAAGGCTTCCCTGTGCATTTGCACCAGATGAATGTTTGATGTTATGAAAAGCTTTTCCATATCATCAAAACTAATTTGTAGATTTTTGCATGGAAAAACAAACAAACAAAAAAAAAAACCAAACATCCATTTCCCTTCAGACTAGACTGTGTTGCAGTACACAAGTTGCCATAATAGTAGAAAGCAGTAAAAATGTGGTAATAAAACCTCATCCTTTTCATTTTCAAAGATAACATGAAGACCTTTGCATGTGGTAATCTCCAGCATAGTTCATTTTTAGATTTCGTTGAGTCCTGTAACCAAAATGTTTCTGTTGTGGTAGGATACCGTGCTGTGTTTCAATGTTACTTGTTTTCAAACTTTGTTTTCTATGAAAATGATATGGAAACGTCTAAAAATGAAATTTGGTGCATATGTACTGCTGAATAAAGAGCGAAAAAAAGAGGTGTGAATAGATGTACAAATCAAGTCATGGTTTGAACACCTTTAATATGCCTAATCCAATTGTTTTAGACTCTTTTTATCTTAGATGTAGGCAGCCATGAACAATCTATTTTGAGCCACTTTAGAGAGAAAAAAAAAAAAAAAACCTTTGTATTTTTAAAACTTGCACAAAAAGGATGCAAGTGTTTTTATAATTGGAGGAATGCCTCAGTTTTGAGGTGGTGCACACTAAATTCAAGGTGATGTTACAAATTTGTACAAACTGAACTCTTGATAAGGTGGCTCATTGTAGGAAATGCTGTGCCTTCCCCTTTGAGCACAAGTGTTGCATGAACAACAGTTTGCTATAATAAAACATCCCAGGTTAGCCACCATTAGCATCTATATCTACCTTGTGTTTTCAAATCAGCTGGTAATTCTGAAACACTGTAGAATGGATAAAGATTATTTTGTGATCATAACTCTTTGTTGGACTAGAGTATTTTTGCAGCATTCCTTGTCATCAGAAACATGGTTAAAAGTTTAAAACTAGAAGCAGCGGAAAACTAGCTTGTGAATTTATCCAAGTAGAGTGCAGGCTAGGCTGTCTTGGGGAAATAAACATTAAAACTTGCAACTCTGCTGCTCTGCCTGTTTCTTTATAGAATATTCACTTTTTTTTCAGCAGGAAACACAGAGGTTATTTGAAGAAAGTGACTTTTAAAGGCTCTGGGTTGAGGTTTTTACCTGTTAAATGGTTGCGTTTTGCAGGCTGTGAAGCATGGAGTTATTTTGCTGTAAATGTTAATAACGATTTTATTTCAGTTTTACTTAATTACCTCTGTATATTCACTGAACGAATCAGGGCTGTTTTCATGGAAAATGCAGGGAAATGAAATCCTTGTTATGGAAGTTGCAATGTTCTAAGGAAAATGCTAACCAGTAAATCATCATTTTCACCCTCAGACACCTTTGTGGGGGATGCTCCACAGAAAATTGCTGGTTTACAAACCTTTCTTGTTGGGGTAAGAGGAGAACAGGTATTTGTGGCAACTTCTGCTTTCCTAAAAACAAAATACCCCCAAAGCTCTGTATTTAATGCCAAAAAAATGCTTTTTTTGGGCACTTCCTGGGTATAACACAACTCCAGAAAATTTCCAGCTTTTTCCCTTTGTGGTGGATTTGGAGCTTTGGGGTGAGTTTTTAACAGGGAAATTCTCTTCCCCTGCTTCACAGCAGCTCCCGTCAGTATTTCACCAAAATCCGGGAATGTGGAATATTCCAGGATATCCACAGGGTGGCACAGCCGAGCTCGGGAGCGGACCCGGAGCCGCTGCGTGCGATGACTTTTCTCCCAAAATTTGCATTTTGAGGTGGTGCCCTTGATTCCATTGTGGGGAAAAGGGGGATTTGTTGGGGAATCTCGGGATACAAACAACAAATAATTTGGGAATTGCCTCTGGGAATACTGATCAATGAGTTTGGGTGTTGTATCTATATTAATATGGTATATGTATTTTAAATTATCCTGTACTTCGGAGTAGAAAATTACCTTTTAACCCGATTTTAGGATAGCAAATAGAAAAATATTTACAATATTAAAAGGACAAAAATTAATCCACAAATCAGCTGTGCCGGGTGGGAATTTTTATTTTAATGGAAAAAAAAAAAAATCAATTAGCTACCCTGGAATTTTAGGATCTGGGAAGAAGAATAAGCTGGGAGGAAAGGGATTTCTTGAGAGAAGCTGATCCTTTCTCTGCTGGAAGTGGAATTATCCCTGGTTCTTTTCAGCATTCCCTGCACAGAGCTCATCCCATCTTCCTTCCCTGTAAATTGTGAATTTCTGCTTTGGGAGTGGGACAGGCTGCTAAAAATCCTAATTTCTGCACACAACAGTCAGATAACGAACAAATCAAAAGGATTTCGAGGCAAATGAATCCCTGGCAGAGTCACTTCATAACTTCAGGATTTCTGCAGATTAAAAGTGAGACTTTTTGCCACTTTTAACTATAAATGTTTCCTCAGCTCTGCGTGTCACCAAACCCCGGCAGGAGAGCAGCTCCCGAGGCTGGAAGCAATTAGAGGAATTCTGCATCTGGATCGAATATTGGGAGAGGAAACTTAGTAGCTGCAAACGTGTCAAGTTTACAAACTCGCTCGGGGTAAGTTGTAGCTACTGCTGCAGTGAAACTCGGGGGCACAGAAATCCTTGGCAAATTAATATTGCTGCACTATCCACAGAAAGTGCCTGGCAGCTTCATTTCCAGCAAATAATTCCCATTTTTGCCAGTGGATCCATTAGAAATCCTGTATTTACCCTGCTGGTCTGCTGTGCCCCAAAGTTGAGGAAGACTTTTCTTAAATTGTCATTAAAATGTCAATACTTTCAATTTTAAGTTTCTATAAAGCACTAAAAGCTGCTCTTACTAAAAAAGGACCAGCTTTGGGAAACTTTAAATGCTAGTTGTTGTTAAGTGTGTTCCAGGAGTTTTGTAATTTGATGGAAAGGCAGGTGAAGGTCAGACCTCCTATCAGACCATGGGTTTAATCACTGATTTAATTCCTGGAGTGCCAGTTTGCACTTGAAATGCTGCTTCTTCTGAACTCTCCATTTAAGTACATCAAATAGATGAAAACCAACAGATGTTCTTACTCTCAGTATTGTGAGTTATTGTTAAAAGCTCCCTTATTTTCTGCTCCTGTAGTTTTCCCCTTAAGGTTTTCCTGATGTGTTGGGTAATTTGTGATTAGAGCTTGAGGGTTTGAAACTTAATTCTAGCTGTTTCTCCGATATTTGTATCATATTCTCTCCACAGTAGCTTTAAGACACGTTTAGGTAAGTTTGGAATGATGGTGCATTATTATTTACATCACAACATTAAATGAGTTTCATTTCTCTTTCAAATGCACTTTGTAACAACTGAGAGTGACTTCAGTGACCTGTAAATTAATAGAGAATAACGCAGAATATGAGAAAAGCCTTCACTGGGTGTTTCTCTGGGCCTGCCCACCCTCCCAGGACGGAATTCCTTCCCAAAATCCCACCCAGCCCTGCCCCGTGTCCTGGCACGACCTGAAACCCTCTCGGCTGGCTTCGGTAAATGAGCTTCAAAGGAAAGACGAAATAATTGACATTTCCGTGGCCAGCAGCTGGCACAAAGTTCCGTGTCTCCCGTTTTCCACCTTCAGGGTGAATTTTTCCGCGGGTTGTGGAGCGGGATCCCCTCCGTTCTTCCATCCCCTGAGCCCGCAGCGATTCCTGCCGCTGGCACCGAGAGCTCCGGCTCCATCCCGGTGAGCTCCGCCATCGCAGCGCCACAAACCGCGCTCCTGCCGGCCGAGGGAGGGAGCCGAGGGCCCGGCTCGGCCCCGGCCCTGCCCTCCGTCCGTCCGTCCCTTCCCTCGGTTCCGTGGCTGCTCTCCCTCCCTGCCCTCCCTCGGCTCCATCCCCTCCTCAGCTCCGCCCGTTCCGCCCCCGCTCCCGCCATTGCCGTTCGAGGGCCGCGGCCGTTACCGAGCGGGGCGGAGAGAGCGGCTCCATCACCGAGCAGAGGAGCTCGGAGCGGCTCCATCGCCGGCGGAGCTCCTCGGGAGCGGCTCCATGGCCGAGCAGAGGAGCTCGGAGCGGCTCCATCGCCGGCGGAGCTCCCCGGGAGCGGCTCCATCACCGAGCAGAGGAGCTCGGAGCGGCTCCATCGCAGAGCGGAGCCCGGAGCGGCTCCATCGCCGGCGGAGCTCCCCAAGAGGAGCCCGGAGCGGCTCCATCACGGGCGGAGCTCCTCGGGAGGAGCCCGGAGCGGCTCCATTGCCGGCGGAGCTCCCCGGGAGGAGCTCGGAGCGGCTCCATTGCCGGCGGAGCTCCCCGGGAGGCCCAGGCGGGTGCTGAGGGTCCCCGCAGCCTGAGGGGCCCGGCCCGGGGAAAGCCGCCCTCCCGGCACAGCGCGGGGGTCGGGGCCGCTTTTCTCGTGTTTCAGCTCGTTGCTGTCGCTGTGACTCGCAGGTCTCGGGTGTGGATGGAGCCCTTTCCCAGCCCCTCGATCCCCGTGTCCGGGAGCTGCCGGGACAGCTCGAGCTGTGCTCCCCGCTCTGGCTGCGCTGCCCGGGGCTGTGCGGTGAAGGACAGGTAACTGCTCGCGGCCAGAAGCTTTGAGTTGGTCTTGGCGCTGGAATCGAAAGATAGAGGGGGATATAGAATCATAAAATACCCTGCGGGTATTGGGAGGGACCCACAAGGATCCGAGCTCCTGGCCCTGGTTTCTGCTGCTGTCTTGAAGTTTGGTGTTAAAATTCCCAGCAAAGGTTCCTATTGTAAACGTCTTGGTTGAAGTGATGCTTGTACTGGTCTTGAAACATCTCTGAGATGGAGGCAGAGTGTGAAAGTTGAGTGAAAATTGCTGTGGATTCCTTACAAGCCAAGGCTGGCGCTGAATTCTTTCTGATTAAAGAGCAGAGAACCCCCCGGCTGTGCCTTGCTTTGTGCTCTGCAGTGGCACAGCCCTGGAAGGGAGCAGATGTTTCCTGTGCTGCCCAGGAGCAGCAGGAGCCTGGCAGCTCTCCTTCCTGGGGGGCTTTGCCCTTGGAATGGGCTGTCACAGCCATTACCCAATGCCAAATTCACCTTTTCAGTCCCTCCCAGTAGAACAGGGTGGGATTGTGCTATAAAGCAGTTATTTATCTGCCTACACTGATGGCTGCTGTATTCCACAGCCATGTATGCTTTATCTGCACAGCTGTAGCAGGTAAAGCCAGCATTTCCCGGCTTCCTGCTGCTTTTTTTCCCCTGGAAAACTGTTTTGTTCTCTGCTGAACTCTGTGGTGTCTTCTCTGTCCTTCCCGTTGTGTTCCCAGTGTGTTTTGAGTCTGTTCAATCCAGCCTGCAGGTGGAAATCGATCAGTAAATGAACATTTCCTCCGTGCTGCAACAGAATTTCAGGATTTCCACCTTTTATATTGTCTGGAACAAAGTAAGACAACAGCGGGGGCCCACAGCAAACCTGAGCATTCCAAATGTTGTTTGGACACGAAGGAGTAACCACCAAAGAGCCCCAGTGCTGTTCCCTGGAGCAGGGTGTCCCTCTCAGCCCTGGCCCCTGCCCTGAGCTGAGCCAAAGCCTCTGCTCCCGCTGCTGACTCCCAAATTCGGGCTGGGAGCTGCTGGGAATGTTCTGGGGGATGGAATGGCAGTGTCATCTCCCCGGGCTGGCTTATGAACCCCTGGGGCAGGGCAGCTCCTGTGCTGGGGAACATTCCTCCTGCAGCTCTGAGAGCATTCCTGACACAGCCAAGAGACATTTTGGAAAGGTTTTCCTTTGCTTTTCTGCTAGCAAACAACTCCTTGGCAGTCAGATTTGTTTTCTCTCACCCTTTCCACAGCTCAGGTAAGTTGGATTTGTGTTCTTCAGGAAGGAAATTTCCCTCCTGTGCCAGTGTGGGAGCCCTGGGTGCTGATCCTGAGCTTTTCCTCTCTTTCTTTCCTCTCCTTCAAAGCTGGAACTCCTGCTGCCATAAATAAAACATCACAGTTGATCCTTTGGCCTCGTTTCACCTCAGTTTCAGCCCAGGGGCTGAGTCAGCAGCCCAGGCTGCCCTCCCTGACCAACCCCAGCCTGGCTAAGCCAGTGAGATAAGCCAGGCTTATTTCTGTGCCAGCAGCACAGGCTGCTGTGCTCAGAGCTGATTTAACTCCCAAAAACAGGGGCTGGCTGTTCAGCTCCTGCCTTCCCTCAGCCTGGGCCCACATCATTGTCTGCAGATCTCAGCTTAGACCCTGAATTGATGGGATTTGATCCTAAATGCTCTGACAATTAATTTCTGCATTGTAGCAAAGACTACAGAGCTGATGAAGGATAAGAAAAGTGTGGCACAAAGAGAAGGAAATTTGGTGCCAATTTCTCCATTTTTAGCAGAAGGAAAACCAGGATTATGATTTATTATGAAAACAGACTTTAGTGTGACTTGTGACTTTGCAGTGTGATTTCACTCAGCTGGGAAATAGAACAAAGCAACATTGCAGAGAGTGGAAAGTGAAAGTTAATTTTTCATTTTGGTGCTTAAAGTAACCCAGGAGTAATTCCTGATGTGGTGTTGCCTGTGAGGGCTGCTGACCTCAGAGCCTTGAGGGAGCTTCTCAGTGTGACTGTTTAATGAACTTATGACTATTTTATGTTACAAAAGTAACCCTTGAAATGCATGGAGAGAAAAAAAAATTCTATGCTTCTGTTCACATTGAAAATGTTACTCCTGGTGGGAGAAAATTTCCATAGCTCTGAGGTTATTTAGAAATTCTAGTTGTGGCTTTCAGCACGCTGCTGCCGTTTCCCACTGTAGCCAGTATCTGGTGTCAGACTGCTGCTTTTCCCGGGTTTCTGAGGGTTGGCTGTGGATGATATGGATACGGCTGGGTGAATGCTGAGTGCAGCCTGGGGTTTGCTGAGCTCTGTTGCTCAGTTCCATTGGATTCCCCCCGGTGCCGAGGCAGGGAATTCCCAGCCAGATGTGCTGCTGGGGCTCGTGGGTCACTGCAGGGGCTGCGAGCAGAGCTCAGTCCCCTCTGCTCTGTGTTTTGTGTGGCCGTGGAGCGGCTGGAGGAGCTCACCTGTGCCATGTGCTGACAGCCTCTGGAGCTGCCAGTGCCTGCTGCCAGGCGCTGCCCATGCTTGCGGTGCGTTGTCGTGGTGTGCCTCAGTTTCCCCGGTTCCTTCCCCAGGTGGGGTGTCAATCACCTCTCTTTTCCCCACCCTTGACCCCTGCTGGGCACTCTCTCAACCCAGAAATTGAGTGCTCGGCAGGTTCAAAGGATGCTCTCCACCCCCTGGGGCCACTGGCCCACCCAGGTGTCCCTCTCACCTGAGACCCCCTCCCCCATTCCTGGCTGGTGCTCCCTGTGTTCTCTCCCCAGGTAAAAGGGCAAGCACACCACACGGTTGGAGTGCTGTTGGAGTTGCAGGATTCAGAGGCCATGCAGCCCAGAATAAAAACTCTCCATCAGGACCCACTCCTTCCTTCACCGTCGCCTCAAAGGTTTCTCCAGCTCAGGGAGGCCTGAGGAGTGACCCCTCAACAGCACTGCTTGTCCCCACGTGCCCAGCTGCGACCACAGGCACTGAACAGCATTTCTGGGGAGAAAACTCCGCAGGTGCCGCTATCTGGTCAGCTGCTGGGGCCAGACACACCAAGGCAGCCCCGTTCAGTGATACTGGCACGCTCCGTACCCACCGTGCCAGCAGGAGGAGCGGGCTGCAGCTGGAGCAGGGCACAGCCCGGCAGCCGCCGGGCATTCTGCGCCGCGGGCACCGCCAGAGCGCCCACAGCAAAGCCAGGGAGGCTCCGGGGCAGCTCCTGGAGCAGCTCCTGGATCCGTCCCGCTCCAAGGTGGTCTCTGCTCCGAGGCTGCGGCAGGGAAGCTGTGCTGCAGTAGATTAAGGAACTTGGTGATACCTCGGAGCATTTTGGAGACATTCGATCCCCTCATGGAGGAGGTGGAAAAACGAGGTAGAAGAGTGAGCTGAAGGAGCTGCACTTGGCTCTTCAGGGGGAGTCCCTGCTGCTCTTCCTGGAGGAGGTGAACGAGCTGCAGCTGTGGCTCCACGCTCTCAGACTGAGGCAGCTCCCGGAGCCTGAACCTCTGGAGATCCATCCTAGGATGGAGAAGGTGCTGCAGGACACGTGGTCTGAACTGAAACCGGGCAGGTGAACGAGATCCACGCCCCAAAGCTACACCTGGATCACAACAGCCAATGCTCTGGAAAGCAAACAGCAGCACCTGCACTCCGGGCTGCTCTTACTGAACCACAGGCTCTTCTGCTGATCCTGACCTCGCTTGTGTCGTTGTGGCACAAGGAGATCTCATCTGGCACCATCCCTGGGAATTCCTGCTGGGGATTTATCAGGATTCCTGCACCTACCTGCAGGCCAGAGTGCAGGAGCTGTGCCTCTCTTCTGGCCTGCCCCTGGAGCTGTGCAGGAGAATCCTTCCTGACTGCTTCCATTAGATTGAAAACCTCTTGCAGCAATCCAGCATTATTTTCAATTTCTGCTTAAAAGCTGGATTGCTAAAGCTCTACACTTGTTCTGTTTCTGTATCCTTCCTCTTCTGTATTGCATGGATTTCCTCTGAACTGCAGTCCTGATACACTTCAGGTGAAGAGAGGTGAGCTTTGCCTTGATCCACAACTGTGGAATTTGGTCCTTAACATCCTCCTGGAATTCTCTGCCAAAGATCAGGTGCATTGCTGAGCTTATCCCAAAATTCTTGGCAGTTTTGCATTACAGTAAATGGCACTGATTCCTTAAATTGCTGTCTCTTTGGTGCTGCCCCTGCCCAACCTCATGCAGTCTCTCTTTTCATCAATTTACATCTCTCTTTCCTCAATTTTTACATGACATTCAAAAACAAATTTATCAATGCTGGGTTTATATTAACAAGAACAATTTTTTACAAATTTATTTAGAATTTACAAAACAAAACAAAGTCTATGATACAAAATGAGATCAGACAAAATAAACAGCAGCCATGGGGCTGGAAGTTGCTTCTTCCCTAACTCTGGGATACACTGCATGAAGGGAGACCAAGTTCCTCCAGTCCTTTCACAGCCAGGATTTTGGGGTTGGTGGCCACACTTTTGGTGGTGTTCTGAGTTTTATAAATCCCAATCAATCTGTCTGCAATCTCAAACATGTTGTTCCTCAGGCTGATGATGATGAACTGGGCGTTTTTGGTTTGTTCCTGAAACAGAAGTGATTTGTGTTAGTGCCTAGCATTCCCAAAATCCCCCCCGTCCTGGCGTGGCACACCAAGCCAAGTCTAAAACTGCAGCTGCAGGCAGGGAATTTCCAAGTGCTTCCCTAATCTGAAGTATCTGCCCCTAATCTTTGTCAGTTAATAATAACTCTGAGTATTCAATGTTTAATTACCTGAACTGGAGCCGCGTAAGGGGTTTGCTTTGATTAAATATGCTGAGGGCAGAAGTTTTGAAGGCATGAAAAAAATCAATTACTACTAATTAAGATACAGATCAAAGACACTGATGGGAATGACATGGGAGTGTAAATCCAAGGAACCTTGGGAAATCAGGAGCTTGGATCCATGGAGACATCAGTGACAGCTAAAGTTGTGCGTTCTGCCAGTAGCTGATGCTTTGGGGGAGTCTGTGTGTTCAGAGGGAGCAGCCCAGACCTGAAATCTGCCTGCAACTGTGTGGCCACTTTGTCCCTTCTGGAGGAGAAGGGCCCCTCTCAGGGCTGAGGCACGAGGAACTCACATAGATGTAAAATGCTACGATGGAGACGTTCTTGAAGTCCAGGGCGGCGTCGATCTCGTCCATGAAATACAGCGGGGTGGGTTTGTAGTGGTGCAGGGCAAACACCAGAGCCAGCGAGCTCAGGGTCTTCTCTCCTCCTGACAGGTTGAAGATTTTCTTCCAGCTTTTCTTGGGAGGCCGGACACTGGAACAGAGCAAGAGTTGGGGCTGTCAGGAATTCTGATCTCTGCCTGAGCTCAGCTGGGTAACAGGGGGCTGTGCCTCACTGCCTTTCCCAGCTGAACTCCCAGCTCATGGATTCATCCTGGGAGCATTCCTGCCATCATTCCTCATGCAGAATGAAGTGACCTGAGAATTAAGAAGTGCTGAGAAATGAGTTCAAAGCTTTCCAACTGCTTTAGCTCCTGATTTCTCCAGGAGAAAGAAATGAATCTGAGAGCTAAAAACTTGTGGTTTCTGTCACTATTTGACCACATTGAGCCTGTCTTGGTTCACTGAAGATCAATGAGCATTTACTTTAAAAACAGGTTGAAAAAAGGACTATAATGATTAAAAATTAATAGAATATAAAGTATTTTGAAAACCTGAACATGATTCCCTCTGAGAAGGGATCCAGACTGTCCACAAGCTCCAGCTCAGCATCCCCTCCCAGCGTGAGCATCTGGTAGTTCTCCTTCAGCTTGTTGGTGATGACATTAAATCCTGCCATGAATTCATTCAGCCTCTGTTTCCTCAGCTCTTCAAAGGCCTCTCTGAATTTGTCCCTCTCGCTGGTGATGTTGTCCAGTTCTTCCACGTGCTTCAGGTACAGCTCTTCCTGCAGGGGAAACAACCAAACCCAAGGGCACTTGGAGCTGCCTCCTCAGTTTAATGTTTAAATCACTTTTCCTACCATGTGAACATTCCTTTTCCCCAGCTTGGCTAACAGCCCTGAAACAAAACCCCTCAAATTGTCTCTTTTCCCATCTCTGCTGCTGAGGGAAAACAAAAAACCAAACCTGTGTCAAAATAAAAAATACTTCATCTCTTGAATGGTTTACTATTACTGATGTGAGGAGGGAAAAATCTGGGTATCGTGTGTCTGTCTTGGCTGTGAAGACTTGACTCTGTTAAATAAACATTCCCAGGAGAATCACGGAATTATTTAGGTTGGAAAAGACTTCAAGATCACCCAGGAAGTTGTCACCTGACACTGACAACGGTGTGGGAAACAAAAGGCAGACAGAAGCTCCTAGAAACAACCTTCACCTCGGCTAAGGACCAGCTGCTAACAACAGGAACAGGCAAATTCCAGGCTTCCAGAAGGAAGGAGGGGGATCAGGCCCGTTCTCCTGGAATGCCCGGGGCTGGGCTATCCCCCGGGGCTGTACCTTGCTCCTGTACTCGGCGATGGCGCCCAGGTTGGGGCGGAGCTGGTGGCGCTGTGCCTCCAGCAGCGCGATTTTCTTGCTGAGCACGTCGGGCTCCTGCAGCGCCTCCAGCTCCTCGTCGCTCAGCAGCCGCAGCTCCTCGCGGGCCTCGCCCTCGATGGCGTGCAGGGACAGCTTGGAGATCTGCAAACACGGGGTGGGGAGTGTAACAGACACGTGGGGCTCTTTCTAAAAGGAGTTTTTTCTGGGTTAGTACAGAGAAGCTTCTAATCTCCAAGTGCTCCAAGAGTCTTCCCACAGGTCTTTAAAATAGGAAGTGAAAAAGAGAATAAATTCCCTTTATCCTATCATCCTGCTCCTGCATATACAGCAATAAGCTGGGATCTGAAGAGGAGTTTTCTCCCAAGTCCTCTGTTTCCTAAGGGGATGTTGATGGTTCATCCTGTGAGATCCACAGAGCAGCTGGGGCTGCCCCAGGATCCCTGGCAGTGCCCAAGGCCAGGACAGGGCTTGGAGCAACCTGGGATTGTGGAAGGTGTCCCTGAGGGTGGATCTGGATGAGCTTTAAGGTCTGTCCCAACCCAAACCATTCCACAATTCCCTGATTTAAGTTTTAGGAACTAAACCATTTCCTACCTCTTTCTGCCAGTATTTAATCTTCCCCTGGTGGGTGGAAATGTGGCTGTCAATTTGTTCAATTTTCAGCTTGATGCTCAGAGCTTCACTTTGAAGGGTATGTTCAGCATCTCGAATAGTTTTCATCTCCTGGAGTAAATTCTTCAGCTCCTCCTGCACTGCTGGCAAAGCTTCCTGAGTAGGAAAATGGCAAATGCCCCCAAAAAGAACATTAATCAATCACCTACAAAATGCTACCCCTTTTTTGGGTGAAAAGTCTGTTTTCACTTAATTTAGTCATAGCTATGGATGGAAACAAATATTCTTAGATTTATAACTGATCCTTGAATTCTGGAATTACTGAGAAAATGCTGCAGTTTGTATTTTCATTCCAGATCTGCATCAAACGTGTCCTGCACTCATTTTTAGCTAATTAGAGAAAGATATCAACTCTTAGATTTATTTGAAAGTATTTCAGCCATCCTGGTTTTCCCTCTCTCACAGAAATCTAGATGGGAAACTAAAATCCCACATAACTGGAAAAATTTTAAGTTTAAGAAAGTTTTTATGTGTAAGAAAAATTTTATACTTAAGAAACCCAGCAATTTGTTTGGGGAGACCTGGTGTTAAGTTTTTTTCCTAAACTGGGTCAGGATAAACTTCCAGGTGAGTGTAAAAAATGAAAATACACCATTGCCACGGCCTGGCTGCTGTGCAGAGAGAATGGGATATCAGTGGGACACAGGGAGGATTTAACTCCTCTCCCTGATTTCCCTGGAGCACAGAGTGGTCCCAGGACTCACCTCAGCCTGCTTGCACTCGTTCATCACCTCAGTGGCTTTGTCCTCCAGCGTTGTCAGCTCTTCTGTCAGTTTCTTCATTTCCTTCTCATTTTCTTCCATCTCCTTCTCCGTGCGCTGCAGAGCCTCCTCGGATTTCTTCAGGTTCCTGCCCAGGGACAGGGAGCTTTGTGCACCTCACAGAAAATAATCCAGGAGCACAGTCTCACTGGCAACAAGGAGGAGGTGCTGGTTTAGGCACCAACTCCCACACTCCAGAGGGATCCAAGGAAAATAAAGTTGTCTTCCTCAGCAGCCAGACCTCTCTAAACGACTTCATTTCTTCTTTCAGAGTTTGGAATCTCTATGGAGTGGTGAGCTCCCATAAAAAATAGATCCCTTTTTATTTCCTGACAGAGCTCCTAATAAAATCAGTCCCTTCAGATTTTAACTGCTCCAGCACATCCAATCAAGTGCTATTTTGGACTTTCTCCTGAATATTGCAGTTTAGGCAATATTAAAGAAATAATTCGGTCAAATACTAGAGAAATGCTGATTAAATGTGACTTTTAAACTATTAGAAATTACAAAATTTGACTTCCCTTTCCCTCGCTGAGCCCCACGTAGCACAGACACTGAGCGAGTGCAGCTCCAGCCTGAGGCTCCCCGTGCTGTACCTGTCTGCAGTCTTCACTGCCACCTGAGCCTTGGTGATGGCTGAGGAACATTCATCCATCTCCTTGTCAATCTTATCAATTTTGTCCTGCTGAGCCTTCAGTTTCTGGTTGTTGGTGTCCATGATGAGCTGGTGCAGCCGTTTCACCTCCTCCTCCATCTTCCCGGCCTTCTCCGCCACGCGCTCGTAATCTGTGTGAGCAAAAGGGGACTCAGGGCCCTGTGCCAGCCTGGCCCTGCTCGTGGGCACCAGCACTGGAGGGACAAAGGGATGGAAGGGACTCCAGGTGGGAGCTCTGCTCTGCTCCTCGATTGAGGAGTGTACATATTCTGTGATAAATGATCAGTTTAACTGTGACAAACATCAAAATCCGCTCACTTCTTTCTGCCACTGCTCTAGCAAAGCTCTCCTGCCACAAAACCCACTCAGCATGGATTACTTAATGTACAGAGTACTTAAATACAGGAGGTGGTGCATGAGAAGTTACCTGCCACAAAACCCACTCAGCATGGATTACTTAATGTACAGAGTACTTAAATACAGGAGGTGCATTAGAAGTTATTCCAAACTCATTCTTTGCATTTAATTAATGGGAAGATGCTCAAAAGGTAAATTTTTAAAAACTGGCCACCAGCATTTCCCAGGAGCTGGTGTCAATGTGTAATCCTGCCCCTGCTGGACAGCATCACAGCACAAAAGGGATGTGTTCCCACAAACAATACAGGGATCTCTTTTATAGATCCATGGCAGAGCCTGGTTAGAGCCTGGCAAAAACCTTCACTTGACTTTCATATCATTGCCTCCTCATTAACAATTCTTACCCCTAATTAAACTACGTTTCCCTATGAATGTGTGATACAGCCACAAAAATCTAAGCAAAGAAACAAAATACTGAAATTCATGTTTACTTTAGCTTGACTAAAACATGAACTTGAGCAATTACAAAGAAAAGGGGTTTTACTTTCTGATCTCTAGAAATACCTAGAAAAACGAGGTCCCAAACCAAGACAGGGAACTGAAGCACAAACCCAAACCCACTCCTTCCTCTATTGCTAAAAGAGATTACTACAACTTTTATCTCAAATCCCCTCTCCAAAAAATGTACCTTTTTTATAACCATCAAGGACTTTTTCCAATTCCTTCTGTTTGGTTTTGTCTGGAGCAGCAGCAGCGACGTTGGCTTCGAGTTCCTTGATTTGATTTTTGAGATCAGTTTCTTGCTCAGAAAATCCCTGCAGAGAACACAAAACTGGGCTGGAATCTTGTCCTTGAAAACTCCTTGAGAGCAGCCAGGCCCGTGTGGGGCTGAGGCTGGAAGTGCTCAGGGATTCTCACCCGGATACTGGCTGTGTATTTCTCCGAGGTGTTCCTCATCTCCCGGATCTCCTGCTGCAGTTTCCTTATGGCTTCCTCAAGCTGGGATTTCTCCTCCTCACACTGCACGGCTCTTTTGGAATCCCTCTGCAGCTGGGATTCCATTTTGCTGATCTACACAAAATGAGAGGATTATTTACTGATGTCACCATGACAAAACCAAGCCAGGGCTCATCCCTGTGCTCTTAAAACGCAGGAGAAAGTGGAGTAAAAACTTCAGCTTGGGGAGTCTGAGCTGGGAACATCAGCTGTGCCAGTGAGAAACAAGAGGAGCAGCTCCAGATTAAAACCTAAATGGAATTCAGAAGGAAAAGCAAACTGCATCCTGCTTTTCCAAAATGGTGTCCAAGCTATCAAAGGAAGCACTGAGAGACTGAATTCAATAATGGGCTGGGCTCTGAACAAACACAGAATTCCAGAATTCCTGAGGCTGGAAAAGCCCTCCAGGACTACTGAGTCCAGCCTGTGCCTGGTCACCACCTTGTCCCCAGCCCAGAGCACTGAGTGCCACCTCCAGGGATGGGGACTCCAAACCTCCCTGGGCAGCCCCTGCCAGTGACAACCCTTTTATCCCTGATGCACTTCAAAGCATTCTAACCTCTGCTAACAGTGGGAGTTTTGTCTTTATAACCCCTTCTAATTATCCTCCATCCCAGACTGCTCCTGCTCATGGTGCTGTGAAAGGCACATGTGTGACAGAACTGCCCAAACGAAGGAATTCTGCTGGAATTGCATTTCCATCATGTACTCACCTCTTCTTCTGAGATATCCATCACGACTGAGGAGCCCATTCTGCCCTTCATGACTTTTCCTCCCCCACCAGTCATGGTTCCTACAGAAAAAGGGGTGAGAAGAGCTCAGAGAACTCCTTGGGCTGCAATATCACCCACAAAGTGCTTCCAGTGGAGCTCCAGCTGGGGCTGCAGTACCTGACACCTCGATGATTTGTCCTTGCAGGGTTACCACCCTCCACCTTTTCTGCTTTTGGAATGCTATTCTGGTGGCTTCTTCCAGGTTTTTGGCCACCAGAGTGTCCCTGAGAGCGAAGTAGAAGGCCAGGCGAACCATCGGGTCCTCCACCTTCACCAGGTCAAAGAGCCGCGGCACGTTCTCAGGAGTTGGGATTTTCTCCATTTTCTTTTCCCACACAGCCATCTACATCCACAGAGGAAATCAAGGAATCAATCTCTGGGATAAATGTTGAGGTCATCTTGTTATTCTATGGGATATTAAGGCTTTAAAATAAATGTAATTAGACTGCAATTAACAGCAAAATGATTTGTTTTCCCAAGGGTGGGACTCACCTTGTCCAGGGCTATAAAGGTGGCAACTCCAATCCCTCCGGCCTTCAGGAAGTTCACACAGGCCTGGGCAGTGTCAATGGTGTCCACAACAATGTGATCCAAGGCTCCACACGAGGAGGAAATGGCCACGTCGTACTTGTCATCGATGGCCCCCAGGTCTCCCTGAGGATGGAGGGACGAGGGACAAACACTGATTAGTTGGCACCTGAGCTGCTCTTTGAGTTGTGTCCCAGTAAATCCGTGAATGCGCTTCTTAAAATCTGAATAAACTGATTTTTCTGAAGGAGAGATAATTCTCCTTGGACAAAAAACTGCAGAATACAAACCCAGCACTTTTACAATTACACTGACATGCAACAGGAATGAAAACTCAGGTTTGAATTTTCAGAACTTTAAACCAACATTGCTTGGAAAGAACTGAAAAATGTTTGATTTTACAGCAAGTCCACGGGATTTACAGCTCTGCTCTCCAAATTCCTAATGCCAGGGTAGTGAGGCATCCCTCTCCAAATTCCTAATGCCAGGGTAGTGAGGCATCCCTCTCCTAACTCCTAATGCCAGGGTAGTGAGGCATCCCTCTCCAAATTCCTAATGCCAGGGTAGTGAGGCCTCCCACACTTCATCACAGGAACACCACTCAGCTCCTCTGAAGTTCAACACTGGAGTTGTAACAGCCTTCTAACACTTACCAGCCTTCCATAGAGGCCAGGAATGTTCCCACATTTCTTCTGCTGGAGCAGAGCCTCGAGCACTTTTCCTCGGCTGCGACTCTGTGCTAAAGAACTTTTGGCTTCCTCTACTTTTCGGCGCAGGTTTCGCACGAGATCCTTGGCCCCGGATTCTTCCCTTCCCAGCTTCTCCAGAGCATTCTCTTTCTGGGGGTTCAAAGACATTGGCTCAGCCTCCCAAAATCTACTGGATTCAGGGAGCCTTCAATGCATGCCTTTGTTCTTTGGGGAATGATTGAGGAGCAGGAAATGAAATTTAAAGAATGATTTGGGAGGGACATTGAAGCTTGCCCAGTGCCACCCCTGCCATGGCAGGGACACCTCCCACTGTCCCAGGCTGCTCGAATTCCCAATGTCCAATCTGGCCTTGGGCACTGCCAGGGATCCAGGGGCAGCCACAGCTGCTCTGGGCACCTGTGCCAGGGCTTTAGCACCCTGAAGAAGGCTCAGGAATGCAGCCACATCTCAGTGTCAAATTAAATCTGTTCCCTTGCAGGGATATGTAGGATTTAAGTCAAGTCAATATTGGCTTAACAGAGTAAGTCTGAAATCCAGAACTTGCTCCACCAGCAAAGTATTAGAGAATAGCTTTTCAGTGATGTTTGAGAGGAGATGGGTCATGGTTTATGTCACCACAATTATTGCCAAAGAGAAGAGTGGGTCTTTGGTTTGTGTGTGACTCAAAATGAAAGTCAAGTCTCACCTCCTTGAGCTGCTGCTCAGCCTGGGGTAGTTTCCCAGCGATGTCTTTGATGGCAGCTTTCCTTTCCTTCAGGGTGGTGGAGGTGCTCCCCAGGGCCTCCTGGGCCTGGCTGAGCTGGGCCAGGGCAGAGTTGTACTTGCTCAGGTAGAGCTCCAGCTCTGACTGCGCGATCTCCATGTTGGAGCGGGTCTCGGTCACCTCCTTGCTGAACTCCATCAGCTCCTTCTCCTTGCCCTGCAGAAACACCAGGGACACTCAGCTGGGCACAGGGGAACAGGACATGGGATCTGCTTTTCCAGCCCTGGTAGCAGGAAACACTTCTGCTCTCTGGGAGAAGCAGCCTTTCTTCATTAATCAGCGTGAATGGCTGGGAATTTAACAAGGCTTTTCCTAATTATAAAGAATGCCAGGGAGTTATCACAGAGCATTTCCACACAAGCTTTGGATGGTTTTCTCAAAGGTGGAAGGAGCCCTACACATTGAGCTAAATTACAGCTCAAATCCATGGAGAATCCACGCTTTCCAGGACAGAAAACAGCCCTGCAAATTTACAGGATAAATTTCCAGCCTCCAGGTACTGAACAACACCACCAACAACCAAATGTTAAAGTAGTTGTTCATTAATTCACAGACTGTGTGGGAAAGGCTGGGAACAGATCATTCCAGAGTATCTTTATTTATTTAAGCAACACCATTGGCTTAAATGTTTTGGTGGCAGAAAATCAGAGTGTATTATTTATATTAAATCTATCAATGAGCTACTTGATGATGTTTGAGCACTCAAAAAGCAGCCAAGGATTAGCTGTGATTATTAATTTAAGATTAATTTCCCACCAAGGCTCCTCTGAACTACCACGAGGAACAGTGGAATTGTCAATAAATGGCATTTTACAAGTGCCTGGTGCTGGATTCCTTCAGAAGAGGGAAGTTACAGCAGGTGGGTAATTCCTGCCTGTCCAAACCTCTTTTTCCTTCTGGATTCCCTTGGTCTCCTCCTGCAGGCTGGCCAGGACCTGCCTGAGCTTGGCCTCCTCCTTGTCCTTGGCCTTTGCCAGCAGCTCCCTCTTGGCCGTGGCGTCCTCGATGGCCTTGGAGCTCGTGGAGGGGACTTTCTTCAGCTCCTCCACCTGCACAGGAAAGGACTTTGAGCCTCCTCTGCCACTGGATGGCAATTCCTGAATCCCTCCTGCATCCAAAGGCAGCCCAAGAGCTCTCAGTGACCAAGTGGATGACACAGCTCCATGAATTAACTCCACTCATGGAGTGATCACTGCAGTGAGTGATTAGCCAACAAAATCTTGGGCTGATTTAATGGCTTCAAAATCTAACTAAAACAACTCCAACCCTATTTTCCCACCTTCTTTGTGCCCTTCCCATTTTCTCCACCATTTACTGCACTTTTCCAAGCCAATCCAGCTGATCTAACCCCCTACCTTTTCCTTGTCCTTTTGAAGCTGCTTCTCCAGTTTTTTAGCCTTGCTCTTGGCATGTTTGAGTCTCTCCCTCACTTTCACATCCTGCAAATCAAACTGATTGAATTTTTCTTTATTTTCCTCTATGAACTTTGTAATTTTATTTGATTTCCTGGAGGAAAAAAAAGAAAAAAATATTTAATATAGTACAAAAACAAGGCTTATTAAGATTGCTTTAATAAGTAAACATGGAGAATTTAAGCTAATATTACCCAGGTTTTGTGATTAACAACATCCAATATTCACTATATTCCCAGTATTTTCCCTGGGACAATGATGTTCCATCAGAGAAAGATCAACTACCCAAGCAATATTAAACATCTTTTCAGAAATTTTCATTTTTTTTCCTTGACAGAATTAATAATTCCCATCTCTCCCCAGTATTCCCTGAGGATGAGCAAGTCAATATTGCAGCTGGATTGGAGATCAGCACCCAGGCAAAGCAATTTTAAGAAACACAATTTATGAATAAATGACTCATGAGGAAACCAGGGAAAAATTCCCAAATCCATGTCCCTAAGCATTGGGGTTGTAAATCTAAAAAGCATCTACTAATTCTGTTTTTGAACAGTCAATATAAAGAAACACTTTAAATCTATTAAAAATATCAGACATTTCCTAATTGCAATTCTGAATCTTACCCAGAACTAAATCAAACCTATGTGAATTTGTTTATTTTTTGTGCATTTAATTTATTTTATGCATTAATTTAAATGCTTCTTTGTGTATTTAGATGTACCAGAAGTGACTCTGGTCATCAGATAATTTCATTTTTTGGTGGGAAACATGTAAAACACAGTACTACACATCCCTGAAGTACTCACTTTTCAAGTTCTTTCAAAGCTTTATTCTTGGTTTTTGTTTCCTCTGCAAGTTTACTGCTTTTCTCATTAATACTTTTAGTTTCTTCATTAATTTTCTCCTTCTGCATTTCCAGGTCATTTATTCGTTTCTTTAGGTCATGGCTAGGAAAATAAAACAATACATCCTCATTTTTCTCCATTTTCACAATGAATCTCTAGTTCCAATTCTCAGTGTAACAATAGAATTATGTAAAATAATCAAAAAATAACAGTAATTTGGAGTTAGAAATGGAAAATATTTCTAATTAGAGATAATGAAGCAAAGTTTAACAGCAGCCCCACCACATTAAAGCCAACCCACACCCTGAGAACTACTTACATATAATATTGACACATCTGATTCTTTTCCTTAAATATTTGGTTTTCCAAGCAAAGGAACTCAATGGCTTTATTCTTGTCCTCTTCCAAGGCATCTTTTTCTTTTTCCACCAGTTTAACTCGATTTAACTGGAGAAAACAGAGGGGCAGAGCTGAGGCAGGGCCAGCACTACAGGAGGAAACCATGAGGAGAAAATTTCAAGCCCTTTGAAGGACATGAATCCTCTGGAAAAATGGTATCAGGAATTACTTCTGCAAGGCAATTTTATGGTGATTTCCTTTACCTCAGCCTTCTGACTGGCCATTTTTAATTTAATTCCTACAACTACAGGTGTTGTTTATTTTTAAAACAAGTCTGCTTCGGGATTTATCACAGACACATCAAGGAAAACTGATTTTATTTAGAAGTTAGTAATTTTAGCACTCAATACACCAATAAAATTCTACAAAAGCAGGATTTTTAGGGGCAGCAGTGAAGCCTTGTGCAGGCTGTCCTGGAGCAGAGGCTGGCCAGAGCTGCAGAATAAAGCAGGGATTGATTCAAAGGATCTCCTCCATGGATCCACCTTGGGCAGCACAAGAGCCCAGCCAGGGCTGCAGCCAAGATGAACCCAAATGGTCCCAAAATGCACGAGCGCTCCCGGGGTCTCTCCCTGGGATCAGCTCTGCTCCATGTGCACATTGCAGTTCAGTGTCCAATTCCAGCTCAGCCCCTGCACTCCCATCCTGCTTGTTTTTCTCTCTGCAGCCCACGGGGTTTGTGCTCTTGGGCTGAGATTTGGATCATTTGTCCTTGGTGCCCAGCTGGAGCAGGAATTGTTTTGTCTCCCTGCTCTGTGCAGAGCTCACCATCGCCTGATGTGAAGCTCAGAACTGCACACTAAAGCAGCACAGAATCTGAAAAACCTAAAAGCTGAGGCATCAGCAGTAATTCCATGTATTTTGAACTCTCCATAGGACTATGTGCAGAAATGCTGGGATTTGTTTGGGAGGTCCCAGGAGTTCACAGAATGACCAGGTTGGAAGAGAACTTAAAGATCATCGAGTCCAGCCCAGCCCCAACACCTCAACTCAACCCTGGCCCCCAGTGCCACATCCAGGCTTTGTTAAACACACCCAGGGATGGTGACTGCACCACCTCCCCGGCAGCAATTCCATAACTTTATCACTCTTTCTGTGAAAAACTTTTTCCTGATATCCAACCTGTATTTATCGCCCTTGGCGCAGCTTGAGGCTGTCTCTGTGTCAGTGCCTGGAGGCAGAGCCCAGCCCAGCTGAGCACAGGCACCTTTCAGGAGCTGTGCAGAGCGGTGGCTGCCCCCAGGCTGTGTGCTGCAGCCCCAGCAGCCCTCTCACCTTCTCCCCGCGGCGCTCGTTGAGCAGCTCCACCCTGCGGCACAGGCTGTGGATGGGCTCCTTGAGCCGCGCCGAGCCGATCAGATCCTCCAGGTACTCCAGCATCCCCTCGTCGTGCTCCGTCTGCCCCTTGGGCTTCATCATGGCAATCTGCTCCACCTCCCCCTTGGGAAACAAAAGTTGGGTGCATCTTTTCTTAGGGTTTGGGTTTTGTTGGCTTTTTTTTTTTTTTTTCTGGGATAGGGAAAGTATTCTGAAAAAAAAATCTATGGAATGAGGATGAGATGTTATTAAAAAAACATAAAATAAGGCGCCAACTAAAATGATTCAAACTGGAATGTCACAGAATCATTAAGGTTGGAAAAGATCTCCAAGATCAAGTCCAGTCTTCACATTTATCTGGGAAAACAAGGATCAGGATGAAGAAAAATCTCCTCTCCAAGGTGAAGTGGAGCCACCCTTCGGGTTTGACTGTTCCTTCATTCTCTAAAGATTCAAAATGTGTTTCCCCAACCTAAAAAAAGAAGAAGAGAATAAAGCAGGCACTTGGCAAGAGAGTTTAATCAGGACTGAAGTCCCTGAAGGGTCTCTTTAGAAACAGAAGATCCACAAAATCGTGGCTGATGGATGAACTGGAATTGGAATTAACTTAATTGAGGCTTCCTTGGTGGAGAAAGGAAAGGATTCTTTAGGTAAGAGAGTTCCTTTGTGTAATTTCCTTTATGTACTGCATTAATTTTAACTGATTTAGGCGGTATTAAAAATAATTTCAATTTTCAGAAATGATATTTAGAAAGGATTAAACAGAGCCAGTGACAAGGACAGTTTGTGTTACTGACAAGACAAAAAACCCCAGCCCAACTCTTATTTTCATTTCTTGCACATCTCAAAAAACAAAACAAACCAATCAATTTGTGAATAACTGTTGCTGGAGTCTATAAAACTCCAATTATCCATTTGCTGCCTTACCACAAAAGTGGGGGTTCTCACCCCAAAACTGCCCGTCAGCTCTGGGGAAGGAAACTGTGCAACCTCCCCGATGATTGTGGGGTTGTCAGAAGACTTTCTCCTTCTTGCATTGAACATTTCCTCTGTTTACATCCACGAGGAAACAAAGACTGAACTCAGTGCTGATCAGGACTGAGGGGTTTCTACACTGGCTTCACAGCCCCTGTATTCAGTGTTGGAAATCACAAACCCACCTTGGATTTAACAGGGAAAAATGGCAATTATGGACAAGCAAGGAATGAATAAAATTTTTATTATTTGGTTAAATAGAATTAACCACCTCTAAGAAAGATGATGGTGCAGTTGTAGGGTTTCTCTGTAACTCACTAATGTGAGTTCTTGAATTATGTTCTTATTGAGGACAAAAATAAGTATATTTATAAATTATTAATTAAATAATAAGAGTATTAAGTATTATTTAATATTTATACTATTATGTTAATATATTAAAAAATCTGTTTAGTTCAACCCAGATTTAAGAAACAAAAAGGCTTCCAGAAAAGAAATTAAAAGTTCCTTTAATTGATAAAGGAGAGTGAAAAACTTGTACCTGCTCTTCTTGACAATGATTAACAGAGCAAACAGATTTTACAGCTGCTAAAACTCCATTGCAGCGTTTCCTAATTAATTAGCAGTGCTCATTACTTGATGCCTTATTTGAATGGTGAATTTCAAAGCCCCAACCCTCCTTGCCGAGGTTGTGAAAGTGAAAGCAAGGCGGGGCAGGCAGACATTTGTTGAGCACTGAGAGAAGGAGCTCGGGAGCTCCTCAGAGCTGGCACCCCCAGCTTTGCCAAGGCTCCAGCAGAACCCCTGGAATTGTGCAAATTGTGCAATTCCTTCCCTCAGTTGTCCTCCTGAGACTCAGGAATTCAGGACAGGGAGCAATGTGTAAAAAAACAAAGGAAATGCAGGCACTGCTCAGACAGTCAAAATGGATTCAACACCCAGCCATGGGCAATGCCAACAAGGAACCAAACGTCCACACGAGGGGAGAAGTTCCTGAGAAGAAAACCAGCCTTGGATCTGTGCTGGAGAACTCCAGGGTGCCAGAACTGAGACCTTCCAGTGCCTGAAGGAGCTGCAGGGAAGATGGAGAGACTGTTTCCAAGGGCTGGAGGGATAGGACACAGGGAATGGCTTCCCACTGCCACAGGGCAGGGTGGATGGGATATTGGGAACTAGGAATTGTTCCTGGCAGGGTGGGCAAGCCTTGGCACAGGTGCCCAGATCCCTGGCAGTGCCCAAGGTCAGGCTGGACAGGGCTTGGAGCAGCCTGGGACAGTGGAAGGTGTCCCTGCCATGGCAGGGGTGGGGCTGGATGGGATTGAAGGTCCCTTCCCACCCAAACCATGCCAGGATTCCACGTTTCCATACCCACCAAGCCATTTGGGAAGGTTCTACACTCGATGCAAGAGTTCTGAATGGAATTACAAACCCAATCCAGCTTCTGCAGCGTGTGGAGCCTTCCACATCCATGTGGATCCACGTGGCCAACTGCAGCTCTGCACCATGCACACACATCCCAGCAGCAGTTCAGCTCCCACAGAATTCCCCAGGGAACAGCCACTGGGAATCCCACAGCATCACCTCAGCTGGGGAAACATTTCCAAGCAATCAGCTGAGCCCTGGGGCAAATCAGGACAAACCTGCTTGGAGACCAGGCTGTAAAGTAAGGGAAGAGCCCTTCTCAGCTGGAGTGGCTGCTCTGGTGAAAAGGATGAGGAATAAATTCCTGCAATTTGGAACCTGTGTTTCTTTGCACAGCTAAATAATTCACAGCTGTGATATTTATGATACTTCCTCAATTTAAGAATTTAATTTTGTATTGTACCTAAGTAAAGAGGAGAAGTTTAAAACAAGTTTCAGGACTGGCAACAACAGCAGCACGTTCCAGCACTGGTTTAAAATTCTGAGTCTGCCCACAACCAGTTTTCCCTAAAAGCAGGAAAACAGCTGATCCTCTCAGCACAGCTCTAACCTGAGTTTATCCAATATTTTCTGGCACATATGGATTAGAATTTTTAACAAGCTTTTCTAACCACCTGATAAAGGGAAGGTTTGACCTACTCATGAGGCTTTTCCTGCAAACGTGGTCTAGAAACAAGGTCCTACAGAGGTAACTCCCATTTGCTGCACTGTGTTCCAGAACATTCCCTGCGGGACTGGCTCCTGTTCCCCAAAGCTGTGGAGTGTGAATGGCACAAAGTGCTGATCCCAGCAGGGACCCCAGCCCCCAGGGGTGTGACTGGGATCGTGGGGCACTGGGACAGTGCTGAAGGGGAACAAAGCAATTTTGGGATCCAGCCACCATATCCCATCCTAAAATTCTGCTGTGGAAGAGACAGGGATGGCAAAAAGCCTCTGGCATTGAAAAATTACTGACAGCAAGCTGAGAACTCTTCATGAAGAGCAAACACCACATTTTGGGTTGGAAGGGGCCCTAAGGGACACTTAGGGTGCCTTGGACACCTTCGGCTGAAGGGGAACAAAGCAATTTTGGGATCCAGCCACCATATCCCATCCTAAAATTCTGCTGTGGAAGAGACAGGGATGGCAAAAAGCCTCTGGCATTGAAAAATTACTGACAGCAAGCTGAGAACTCTTCATGAAGAGCAAATACCACATTTTGGGTTGGAAGGGACACCTTCAGGGATCCAGGGACAGCCCCAGCTCCTCTGGGAATCCCACCCAGCTCCTCCCCACCCTCCCAGGTAGGAATTCCATCCCCTGGGCAGGATGAGCTGTTTCTGCAGAACCTAGGAAGATGTTTGTTTTTCTTGATTATTGTCTCTTCTTTTCATCCCTGAGAATTTGGGATAAAGCTTTGGGAAGGCAGCAGCTCGAACAGCCTGAGTTGTGTCTAAATGTCACTGCAGCATTGCCAGAGCTCTCTGTCAATGTCCCACGGAATAATTACGGCACCAAGGAGGCAAAAACAGCTTCCAGGGTTTTGGATTCTCAATTTCTACTGTCTTAAGCTCAGCTTTAAAAAGCTGAGAACCTTGGGATAGCTTGGAATTCAGTAGGTGGGAATGCACCGTGCCCTGGGCAGGAGCTCAGGCAGTTTGGGTGGTTTTTGAGGGGAATTTTGTGGTGCACTTGTGCTGGTTTAGGTTTTGTTTTTTTAGGGGACCTCTCTACCACTAATCAGAGGTGGAGAAATGTGACATCTGACTGAAGTGAAAAGCACAGTTGTGCTCAGAAGAAACGGCTTTAGAGAAAATATTTCCTGGAAAATGCAACACTATGGATCAGGAAAACTGTCCCTGATTGGGGACAGGTCAAAATATATAAATTTGTTTCAAAATCCCATTAAATCACCAGAAAATTTAATGTGTGAACCTTGTGACTATGATACTTGGTATTTTTAGGAATATTTAGTATTTTTAAGACAATTTTTTTAAAATTCAGAACAAGATTAAGGGATATTTGGGGTGAAATAGTACTATAAATGCATTGGTAATTAAAATTTAATGTAAGCAGTGTAAAAACCACCTTGACTTGCACTTTTGTGGAGGATTAGAGCAGCCAGAGCTAAAATCTGCTGTTTGTCTAAATGTAAAAACTCATCTTAATTCAAATGACACCCCAATTTCAATCATTTTCTGAACTTTTTACCAGTGACCCAGCACAGGACAAACCTCTCTCAATAAAAGTCAAGTTCTATTTGACTTCTTTTCCAGAGCACAGCAATGTTTCACTTCTCTCAAACACCGAAGAAAGTGGAGATGAAGAGATTTTGCAAGAACTTCTCCAGGAGCTGAAAACTCCTCAGCATCACAAGGAGCAAAGCCAGAGTGACACTGGATTTGTTCAAAGGAAAAATCCCATTAAAACTTCTGCAATGTTTGTTATAAAGCTGTTTTTCTAGAGATGTAAAAGAAAATCCAAGCCTAGTTCCTGCTTTTCCTTTAGTTCTTTACCCCACTGTTACTGCTCCTGAGTTCAGCTTTTGGCTCTTTCAGCTCCAGTTCCACCTGCCTGACACAACCTGGAACTGCAGCAAAAGCCAAGGTGAGGAACATTTATTTAGAGGAAAAGAAGCCTGGAATTTTGTTTTCTCACTACATTTTTATTTCCTGGCTGTTTTGTGCCATCAATTTCTTGATAACATAGCACCAAAGTGCATTTTTCTTTTCAGAAAGCCTTTAGTCAGCAAAATGAGACAAGCATCTCCCTTTCTCTGTCTGCAGCTTCCACTGATTTCACCCTCTGTCCCAGATTTCAATTTTTAATTTTTCTTTTACGTGCTCACACTTGGCTTTGGGTTTTTTCCCCCCACTTTACCACAATGGTAGCTCTCATTTTTAAGCAGGAGTACAATAAAGAATGGCAAAAATCCATCCTAAATTTCTGTCTTTTATTTATTTATTTTATCTCATCTCACAAAGCTTTGCCCATGAATTGCAATTCTGCATCCATGGATTTTGGAATATGTATGGAGAGAGCAAATATTCCCATAATCTCATTATTGTCCTGCTGTAACAGAGCTCTGGGAAGCTACAACAGATTGTTTTGACATTTTTTTCCTGTGATTCTGTGTTATTGTTGCTATTATTTAATGCTTGTGGTCCTATCTCATTTCTACATTTGAATTTTACCACATGGTGAATATACAGGAGAGGAAAAAAGCACCAAAACATTTTCCTTTCCAGGAAAACTCAATGGGAAATAAAGTCAAATACAAAATAAATGTACTTATAAAAATCTGCAATGTCACCACTGGCCAGAGATGAAGAAAATATCAGACTGAGCCTTTATACAACATTCAGTTGTGTGCACAAAACTACAATTCTGCATTCTGGAAATAAGTTTACAAGTTTTAAGGGCATTGCTGTGTTTAATACCAGAGAACATGTTGAGTGCAAATCCAGAGTCACTTTGGAATTTAAATCAGGAATTGGCAAACCCAACCTGCAGTGTTTGATTTGCTACTGGGCTGTTCTACAGAAAATATTCAATTATCACTTATTTTCTCCTCCCATTTTCCATGTTTTTCTGCAGAATTTCCTACAGGAACAATCCTCTCTTTACCCCCCATGCTGGCAGCACAGATTTTTTAGAATCCCATTTATAAGCTCAGTTCCAGTGTCCTATCAGGAGCACAGTCCTCAACAACTGGGAATTTCTGGTTGATCTCAAAGGAGAAGAAAATCTCTCCCTCATTTCCTCCCCACTCCCCTGGAAGTGACTCCCACATTGTTTCCACACAGGAGCAGGTGAAAAACCTGACAGAATTTCCTTCCTGGCAACCTCATCTTGCCACAGGATAAAACTGAGCTCCAAAATACAAAATATACCAAATAAAACAGTTAGAAAATACACCAAATAAAATCCCTGCAGTTATTTAGATATAAGATGACAGACAAATATTTTAATTAAGTTTATCAAATATATTAAAGTGAAAATCACTGTAATTAGGACAAAATTGACTTAAAACAGTTCTAATTTGTTTGTAAGATTCTGAAATAAATTTAAATCAATTTAGAAGTTCGTTACCATGAAAGCAGAATGAATTCTGCAATACTGATGTGCAGAGGGGCTGCTGGGGGTTACCTGGGCAGCTCCACTTGGCTTTTCCACCCTTTTTGGTGAGTCTGCTTCTCACCTTGCCCATCAGAGCAGCCACAGATCCCAAACATTCCCCCTGCACTTCCAACCCTGCCATTCCCCAGGGCTCCCATTTCTCTCATCATTCCTTAGAGAAAAGCACTGAAGGCTGAAATGTTGGAACCTTTCAGAGCAGTCACTGCAGAGAGCAGCACAAACACTCTGGGTTTGTCAGCCTGGCCACAGCAGGCTTCCAAGGCTTTCAGTCAAAGCTAAATTATTTTATTTGCTGTTCTTTACACCTCTGCAAGCTCCTGCAAGGTGTGCAAGACAGAAAAGCAGCAGTAAGGTGCCAGATTTTCCCCCAAACTCTCTTTTTTTTTTTTTTAAGTGATAAAATGCACTTTTTCCTGCTGCAGTTTCAGGCTGTGGCAAGCTCATTAAAAATGCAACATATCTGTGATGATTTTAAATAATAATTATTATAATAATGCAAAATAGTTGTCTATTCCTGAAGTACTAAAAGCACAGGGAAATTTAATAAAAACATGCACTATGGAGTGTTGGAGTTAAGGATCCCAGAAGTGACAAACTCCTCCTGTTCTGTGCTGGCAACATCCCATTGGAACCAGAAGAATTCTGAAACCAGATTTATTTCAATTTGCAAGTTCAGGCACAGAATTTGTAATTTTTCTAGAACTACTCAATTACTCTCACATTTTCTGTTTTCCCACAGGTGTTTTTTTTTTTTTTTTTTTTTGTGATGTTATTCACAGAAGTCAGCAGCAGTTGGATTTGAATATTTTCAGTCTGGCATCAGCAGAAACATCTATATCAAAACTCAGCTTTCAAATTTTACCCTAAAAAGCACCAAAATCAGCAGAAAAACACTGCAAAATAGGGGGTGAACGGGGGAAAAGGAAGCCAAAAAACCTGAAGCAGTCTTCTAAAAAGCAAATATTTTCCATTGAGTAATGGCAATTATGTGAGCAAGATAAAAATCAAAGCTCTAAAGGTGTTGGTACTACATGTAGGACATGTTCTCCTGTAAGATTTGCTTTAGTACTGACAGCAAATGTTCTGTCACACACCCAAACCAGCATTTGATAATCCTTCATTAATATTTTTCCCCAAAATCCAGAGTACAAATGAAATATTTTAATTACATCCTGTTGATATAGTCAAAAATCAGAGATTTAGAACTTATTTTATTTGAGAAATACTTGGTTCAACTTAGTTTAATTAAACTCTTAGTTTTGCTGCTAAAAAAAAAAAAGCCAAATAAACTTGTTACTTATCCCTTCAATTTTAAATAATTTGAAAAACATTAGGGGGGAAAATGCAATCCTTGTGATAACAATCCACAGCCTTAGATGGTTTTATTTCCTTCTAACTATAAATTTTAGGATTTGGGGGTTGAAGTTCTGCTGTCATTCTGTGGAAAATATTGCTACATTTCTCAAGTGGAAATACTGAATTTTGGACTGTCAGATCAGTGGATTTCACTTTAAAAAGGCAAAGAGAAAGGCTCTGCCCTGTCAGAAAAGCTAAAAAAGGCAGAAAATCTCAGTGCAGTTTCTGAGACAAAGCCTGGTGTGATGAAATATGAAAATTATGGTGGGAAAGCTCTGGTTTATGGTTTATGTTTGCTCTACTTCCCCTTGTTTCCCTTTGTAGGGTGGAAAGCCTGAAATTCCAGCTTTTAGGAAAAAAGGGATGCTCCCCTCATTAAAACAATTTGTGGGAGAAGAAAACAAATCCCATTTGGGGGGAAAAATATCAAATAAATGAATTTATCAATATTCTCTTCCAAATGTTCCCCTCCCCTGCTCCCAGTGTTCTCTAACTGAGCTTTGGGATCTGTGGCCCAGCATTCCCACCCTGCTTCATCTTTCACTTTACATTTCTCCCTTCTGGAAATTTTGGCAAAATGATATTGCAGAACAACTGTATTTAAAAAAAAAAATAAAATAAATTTTAAAAAAAGGATGTATTTACTCCAAGTTGTTTTCTTGGAGGTGCTTCTTGCTCCATCCTGAGGCAGAAAATACAGGAATAAAGTGTTGGAGGAAATAATTAATTGGCATGGAGACTTGCAAACAGAGATATCCTCTTTTTGTGGGTGTAGCTGTAAAAAAGGACTGCACAGAAAGCCTGGAGGAAGTGAAGCAAGCACAGCCACCCAGCTACAAGTTCTTTAAATATTTTGGTTTTTTAGAGGGGAACTGGAAGGTCCTTTGACAGAACCAGGCCTAAAATAAACTCTATTAAACATTTCAGACCTTGGGAAGCTCCCACTGATCACTGATTTCTAGGCCAGAGTAGATTTGGGACTTATTAGTAATTACAGGTAATGGCAGAAATAGTTATTTAATAGAATTAATATTTAAATACTTGTAGCTTAATTTACATTTTAATTGGCTGGCACATAGCAAAATTCTCATGATTTAAAAACTAGGAAAAAAAAAAAAATGAACGTTGTTCCCTTCAGCCTGACTTTAAAACAGCAAACAGATGCAAGCAAGCCTCAGAATCTGAAGGTCAAACATGAATATAAATGATATTATATTGACAAATTGTGATTAATTTTACAGTATGGGCTGTGAACTGTAATTGGTTATAAACGTTGGTTAAAACTTTCTGGAGCTGGTAAACAAGTGTAAACAACAAACACAATTCAGGGATTTTTCTTGCACTTATTTTATGCACAATTCATTTTCCCACTCATTTCCCAGTAAAACCGTATCTCTGTGAGAGCAGCAGACAACAGCAGATGAAACAATTAAACAATTCAGATTTCAATTAATACTGATGGAGTTCAGAGATAAAAGCACCCCCAGCAGCTGAGTCTCTGCCACGCTGAAGCAGCACAATAATATTGGGGTTGAAGGTTTCTTTGACACTCCAATATTTACGTGCTGCTAGGGCGGAACGAGCACGAGTCCTGCAGGCAGGAACACAAAATTCCCTCCTGGAAAAAGGGACAGAGGATCCCCCAGTGCTTCTGAGCCTTCAATTCCTACAGCAGCAAATAATGATTTGCACCCTGAGCAGAGCATGCAAACCATGATGTGCTGCTACAGCACTTCAAGGCCTCCAAGGAAACTTTTCAAACCTGCATTTTTTAGAGTTTTAACTGGAAATACAACTTTCAAATGGAGGTTATTCACACACCAACCTGTAAAATTAAGAACCTGTTATGATCCAGGTCAATGCCATGGCTTCGGAGAAGCATCCCAACATCTCTGAATGTCTTTTTCTTGCCATTGATGTAGTAGGTGGAGGAATTGTCTCTATAGGCAGCTCTAGAGACACAGAATTTGCTGTCAGGAATGACTTCGTAATCATCTCCTTCCTGCTTTGGGGAAACACAAAGCCAGAGAAACAATTACTGTAGATGGGAATTTACCTCCTATTTCACAATTAACCAGATAAGTTTCATCATGAGATGTTTTTATCATGGACTCTGAGTTGTAGAAGTGGGAGCTGTCTTAAAATTGCATCTCTCAAAAAAAGAGAGAAAAACAACAACAAAAAAATCCTTTGAGAAGTGGACAAAAAAAATCCCCTGAATTGTCTTTCCCCTGTAACTGACAGGAACTCCCTTGCATGGCCCAGGCTGCAGTGGCTGTGCTGTCCCAGCCTGGAGTGCCTCTGGGGACTGCAGAGCTCCCTGCACTCACAGCTCCTCCAGAGCTGCTCTCAGCTCCACAGAGAAACTGCACAAGATAAAAAAGCCAAACATTAAAGATGTGACAAATGTGACATCAGCAGCTTCAAAAGAGAGCTTCCATTTACCTCCAGAGCAGCAGCCAAAATAAAGCTGGTGCCAGGCTTCAAGAAGTTAAAACTCACCCAGATTAACCCCCAAGAGCTCTCAAATTACTCTCTGGTTTTAAATCAAACTCAGCTTCTGGATGTTCACACAAAGTCAAAAAAAATTTTTTTTAAATTTAAATAGATGAATTTTTTAATCTGGTTATTATAAACACAAAAAGAAAAAAAATCAAGTGCCTTTTCAAACAGTTCCTAAAAAAGGCTGTAAATGCTGCCACTTTATTAACACCATTTTTGGAATTTCAATGTACACTTCCCACTTTTTTGGTTGACCCTAAATTTAAAAGTTTGGATGTGTGCACAAAAAAGAAATTTAAATTAGGAGAAATAAATTCTTTGTACCACAACTGCAATAAATCAACAAAAAAAGTGCTAAGGTTTTTATCAATACACAAAGCAGAAAGCAAAAGAAATATTTTTAAAATTGCCAACACTTTCTATTTCATTCAAACAAAATATCAGCTTCAAAAAATTTTAGTGGTAAAATGTGGGGTCCAGAATTTTTGCTGAAAAGTCTGTTAAAATTACAGGCATGATTACAGTACATAAGGTGTAAATAAGTTTCAGATTGATTATATATTTTTCTAAATTTAGATAACCTAAAATAATTTCTAATTGGTTTCAAAAGTTTCTTAAATAGCTTTTATTTCTTAATACATATATTTGTGTTATACATTTAAGAATATCTAATATGTCCAAATATAGACTTGTAAATTTCCATTAATTCTTTTAATTGCAGAAATAAATTTATTTACTTGAGGTAAACAAGATTACTAATTAAAACGAGTTCTTCTTAAAATGATGATTAAAAATTTCTAAATTGTTTTCAAAAATAAATCCACCACATATTAGTCCTGCAGCAAATTAAAGAATCCCTCCTAAGATTTTAAGAGCTGCACTACTCAACAGAGGATTTTTAAAGTTAATTAACACTGATGGTTTATATCCCAAAGGTAAACTAATCATGCTATGAAGCTTTCCCCAGCTCCAACGAAAATAAGCAAATATTAAAAGTTTTTCAGCTCCTTAAGGGAAAAAACCTGGGATCATACCTACCTTGTCAATGATCTTTTGGAAGTGAACTTCCACAGAACAGCTCGGGATGTCCTTGTGCTCATCAGAATTATGGATCAGCACCGAGAGCTTTTTGGATCGGATTTTTTGGGCTCGATAGCCAAACACAAAAAGCAGGGAGTCAATGATATTGGATTTGCCACTGCCGTTTGGCCCGATAATACATGAGAAACGCTGCACAGAGAAGGGGAAAAAGTGATCTTCAAAGGGAAAGAAACCCTGCCCAGCGTCCATCACCCATTTCAAGCACAATTATTCCTCGTGCGTGCAAGTGTCTGAGAGCTGAGCTTTTGCTGCCAAGGTAGAAGTGAATAAAAGCCCCACAGCTCAGCTCAGCTTTCCCAGCTGCACTGCTTAACCCAAGCCCTGCACTTCGCAGGCTTCACAAGCAAAGTTTCATGCTCAGCCACGTAAGTCTCTTGTGGGCACAAAAAAATATTCTCTTTCTTCAAACACAGCCCTAAAAGTTCTCCAGCAAACGAAATCAAGAGAAAAGAGAGTTTTTCTAAGCTGTGCTGACAAATTAAAATTGCACAGCATTGGAAAGTTGCACTTAACTGTTTTCTCTACTTAATTTAGAATATTACTGTCAAAATATTTCTAAACCTTAAATATTTTTTCAGTTATTTTGAGGTCAGCTTAGATGAAGAAAATGCAGGAAGGAATAATACCACCCAGTGAAGTCTTACCTTGAGTTCAAAACTACTTAAAGGAAAAAGAAAGATACCTTGTGAAAAGGTCCCAGAGTTTGCTCCCCCGCATAGGATTTGAAGTTCTGGTTTACAATGTGAGTGATCATGAGGCGAGGAGCACCAGGTTCACTGGTCATTGCTGGAGGTGGGGGAGGAGGGATGCTACCCAAAATCTCTTCTAAACTTCGATTATCCACCACCTCATCTGAGGCTGCTAAAACCCATCCAAACAAACAGAAAGATTAAAAAAAAAATTTAAAAAAAAAAAAAACAACAAAAAAACAACCCAATTCTAAGCTCTCAGTTATTTAACACCTTTTAAAATGTTGAACCGAAAAAGCAAACATCATTTCTGTCTGAACCAAACTATATTTTGGCCTGCAGTTATTAATATGAGCCGAGTGGAATTAAAATTCTTCTTTCCACAAACAAAATGTTTTTTAAGAGCTACTTCAGATGTCCCATCACTGGGTTTGTTCTTTCATTATGTAATTCTTATTCCAACACACTTTAACAGGCCCCCTGCAATTCCAACAGCTCCAACCATCACAATAAATCTGCAAATCTGAAGCAGGCAAAGCCTTTCTAATGAATAAGTGCAAAGCCACATTTCAGAGTCACTGTGCAAGATTTGGGGATCTCTCACGAGGCTCTGAAAGCTGCAATGACAGCACGGCTGCTCTGCAAAGACAGGAAGTTTGTTACGAAAACAAACTGGCCCCCTGGATATCAGCAGAGCAGCTTTTCCCCAGGCACCAGCAACTCCTCCTTCCAACAAGCAGCAGTTTTTGCCACCAATTTTAATGTATTTGTCAAATACCTGCCTTTAACAACTGCACATCTGGCTCCCTAAAAAGTTACACAGCTGCTGGTTTTGCAGATTTTTTTCTGCGAAAGCTCAGCCCAAGGAACTCAAGAAAATACACTGCTTCATGAAAAAGAAAGTCAAATCATTTTAAGAGTTAAGTAAATAAACTTGACATTTATTCCATTCCAAGAAATCCCATACCATTGGCTGCCTATAAATTTGAAAAATCCTGCTGTTGTACCACAATCTTAAGTACAATGTTCCAGATCAGAGCTCCGAAATAGGCTTTATTAGGAGAAAGTCTACAAATTGCTTTTGCACTTGTACTGGGCCAAACCCTTTAACTCTTTGCAAGCTCTTTTGACCATTTTAAAAGCAGTTTTAAATTGCCAGGGGTTTCAGCGTTGCTTTGTAGAAGGGAAAAGAGCAAATCCCATCTGGAAGAGTTGGGAAATTCAAGATGCTGCTGAGGAGGCTCAACGAGCACCACGACAGCCAGCCCAGACCTACCTTGGGGAGGTTCTTTGTCAGGCTCCCTGGTGCCTTCGTTTTCCACTTCCATGTCCATGGAGGACTCCTCCAAGGGCTCCCTGCCCTTCCCACGGGCTGCAGTGGAGGTTTTGGTGCTCTTGCCTGGCACGGTCCCTGTTGGCTGCTCCCCTTCCATTCCGAGCAATCAAACAACTGAAGGGCTCTATCTCCTTTGCTAACACAAACAAGAGAACCCCGTGATCTCAGCACCGAGCTACAGCCCGCAAGGAATTCACCTACACCTCTGCCCAGATGCTTGACTCATTTAGAAACTCAAGACTGGAGGCATTTAGAAGACAAAAATCCAAATTGGAAACAAAATATCGAGGTTAGCTTCGTAATGATATATTTTAAGATACATCACCCCCAAAACGAGGGGCTGAGCCTAATCTGTTTTAACAGCATGGATCTACCTGCTGCCAGCCCGTGGGGACATGTCAGGGCAGTGACTTTGCTCCCTGAAAGCCACCCTGGTGCTGGGGGCAAAAGGGTTAATGACACATTGAATAACAAGCCCAGGAGCCACATGTCTATACTCTCCTGGAAGAACTCGTTATATTTCAGACCTGACACCCGTTTTACTTTCAATAATCCGTGCTAAATATTCGTATGGATATAGAGAGATTGACAAACAGATAAAGAAACAAAAGCCCTGCATGATTATAGCAAAGATTTAATTCTTAAATCATTTAAATCGACACACTCTGCTCACAAAATACCACACAACCCCTCCTGCCAGCTTTCAGCATTTCAGAGAGAAAGCAAAAACGAAATACCTTCATCTAGCCGGGATGTTAAAGTGATCTGAGCAAGGACGAGCATTACAAAAGCCATCAGCTGGCACTCGAGCACAGCTCCCCGAACGGGTGAACAGAAAGCACCCGATGAGAAGAAAAGGAGCAAAACTCTCCCCAAAGAGTTGAAATCGCAGCAAGTGGCGAAGTGAGTTCGCAGAAAAACAGACATGAGAAAGTTTACTTCTCACAAGATAAAAAACTGACGTGGTTAGAAAGTCATCTTACAATTGGTGCCAATCATTTGACGTTTTCAGACCTACCCCCAGCCCACACTCTCCTGAGAGTCCTTCATTTGGGACAATGGGGGAGGGGGGAAATGAGAGACAGAACTCATTTTCAGGCAATTTCAGTCTATGCCCCCGTTCAGAGCTGTTCCGCAATGGCTGTCGCAGACAATTACAGCCTCTCAAAGCACATTTATTTATTATTTTTTTTTCCCGAACTGCTCCACTCCAACAGAATTGTGCAATATAGACCTATTTACCTTCCCAACCCTTCCCCCCCTCGGACACTTCACCAGAACGAACAAGCCGAACTACTTGACCTCAGCTTTTAAATCGCGATAAATCAGCTGCCACATAGTCTCTAACAAATTTAACAAATTCGTGCCCAGCCCCTCCCCCGAGCCAGCTCGAAGGTGTTCGGTAAAAGCATCTCTCCTGCCAAGCGCTGTTTTCCTCACGGGGATGGCGAAAAAAAGAGCCGGAGACGGACAGAAAAGCTTCCTTATTAACAGCCGATTAAATGTGACAGAGACAAGCCCTGTCAGTGACAAATCTGGGGCTTTTTTAAAGCCTAAGGAGCCAGACTGCACCCTTGTCACGCTCTTTCCAAGTCACAGGCTCCCAGAATATTCCGAGTTGGAAAGGACCCACGGGGATCATCGAGTCCAGCTCTTTTAAGCGAATAGCCAATCATTAAGAGCTTTCTTGGGATTTTTCTCTCACCCTTCAAGCATCAAAGCAGCAGGCAGAGCCGGGGCTAGAAGGGTTCCTGCTCCAAGCAGATTAAAATCGGATCCCTCCGCTACCCAAACGCGTCCCTGAACTTCCCCGTCCTCCGAGCCGCGGTCCGCGGGGGTCCCTCAGGGCACGGCGGGAGCCCTTGGGCTGCACAGCCCCCCGGGGACCCGCTCCTCAAAGCCCCGGGCCGACAGCAGCCGGGACGGACCCGCGGGGCGCGGAGCCCTCACGGGGACCCTCAGCGGGGCAGCCCGGCCCGGGGAGAGGCGCTGCCGCCGCTTCTGCTCCCTCCGGGCCAGGGGGGAAGTGGGGAAATGAGGCGCGGGGCAGAACCCGCCGATCCCCCAGCACCTCCTGCCATCCCCTCAGCACACCCCACCTTCCCCCTCAGCGCCTCCTGTCTCCCCCTCAGCACCCCCGGCCTTTCCCCTCGGCACCTTCCCTTCAACATCACTTGTCTCCCCATTAGCACCTTCCCCTCAAAAGTCCTAATCTCCACTTCAGCATCCCTTGTCTCCCCTCAGCTCTCCCAGCATCTCTTCTTTCGCCGTCAGCACCGTCCCCTCGGCACCTCCTGCCCGGGGCAGCCCCCTGAGGGCACCTCCTCCGCCGCGAAGCCCCCCCACCCCACCGCCCTGAGGCGAACCGCCATCGCTTCCTCCCGCCGAGCTCGTACCTGCTCGTCCCGGCGGCTCCGTGCCCCGGCGAGGCGGCGGCAGCGCGGGCGGCTCCGGCTGCTGTAGAAGCTCGGCCGCTTCCACACTCGAAAATGGCGCCGAAACGGCGAACTCGAACCGAAATTCGTTAGAAAAGCGCGGGGCAGGCTGGGACGGGAGGGGCCGGGCCCGCGGGTTTGAACGGCACCGCCGCCCCCGCCCGCCATCTTGTGTTCGTTACAGCAGGGAGGGGAAAGCGCGCAGAAATCCGCCGGGAGCGGCTTTTTCTGGGCAGAGACGGAGGGCTGGGAGACATTAGGGGGTGAGGGCGGCGCGGTAACACAGCCTCGCGGCCGTGCCGGCGGAGAAAAGGGTTAATTTTAATTTTAGAAGTAGGTCAGTGGGCGGTGCTTGGTTGCTGGGCGACGCGCGCTGGTTTAAAATTAATAAAAAAAAATTATTAAAAAAAAAATTTCTAGTGAAAAAAAATTTAAAAATTGTGAGGGCGCGGCAATTTTGAAGCGGGTTTAATTAATTAACGGGCGGCGCCGTGGCACCTTGGGGGGGCCGGGGGGGACCCGTGAGGTGGCGGAGGAGGAGGATGAAGAGGATGAGGTCTCGCGAGAAGTCGCCATAGCGACGGCGGCGCTTGGCGGCGGGGGGGAGCGGGAGCCGCCGCTCCTGAGGCGACGGGAGCGGGACCGGGAGGCGGGATCGGCCGGGAGCAGCAGGTGGGATCATCCCGGGATCGGCCGGGAGCTGGCGGCGGGATCGTCCCGGGCTCCGCCGGGAGCGGGCTCCGGCCGCCGCTCTGCGCGCTCCCTCCGCTGCCCGCGCAGGTAAAGGCGCGCTGGGGAGGCGGCGGCCGCCGGCCCCCTCCCCTCGGCTGAGTCACCGCCGCGGTGGGCGAGAGGGTCGGGAGCCGTGACCCGGGCTGGGCGTGGGACGGGCGGATGGAGGGGAGGGAAAGCTCCGGGGGACAGCTGAGGGCAGGGCGGGGGAGCCCCGACCCTCAGCAGGGGTTGGGTAATGGCTTCTTGGAAAGCTGGAAAGGGAGGGAACAGCGGGTGGTGGCCGAGGCTGCCCCGAGGGTTTGGGGTCTCCTTCTCCGTGCCCCGCATTCCGCCGGCTGCTTTTCCTTCTCGGCGTTCCTGCTGTGGCATTCCTTCCCTTTCCTGCTCTGCCCCCATCCCTTCCCGCTGCCTTCCCTATCCCGCCCGCTAGTTTTCCTTCCCGGCGCTGCTCCATCCTTCCCTCTGGCATTCCCTGCTCCCCCATCCCGCTCTCCTCCGCCGTTCCCGATCCTCATCTCCGGATGGCAAAGGGAGGAGGCGTCGGGCACTTTGGCTTCTCCGAGTCCCGATAATTCCTGCTTGTAATTCCTGCTTATTGCGACATCTCTCCTAAAACTCCAGCGGAGCCCTGCTGGATTCCTTGGGACGGAGGGAATACGTGTGCTGGCAGTGATGGATGTACCTGTGGATGGCCCAGGGTGGGCGTTCAGCCTTTTAGTAGCACAGAGCGATTAAAATGCATTAAAAATTGTAGGAAAGTTCTGGGCTTGGAAAGGCAAAGATCATGTTTTCCCTTCCTGGCTGTGTGTCAGCACAAGGGATCTCCAGTGCTCCCAACCTCTGATGTCTCAGGCTTGATCTTAAAGGTCTTTTCCAACCTTAAGGATTCACTGTTCACAGCATCATTTCTTCTTCAAGTTGTCCATATTCAGTTGGATAATGTGAAAACAGAATTCTCTTTAAACTCAGGTATTTCTTGGTGCTTGTTTTTCCCCAGTAGTGATGTAGTATTACTTCAGAACTTTTAATTTTAGTGTGTCTTCCATTTTAATTTTAGCTGCTTGTGTATGCATATATATTATGTTAATTATCCATACTTATATATGTATTTGTTTTCTTTTATTGCAGTTATAACACATGGTTTTAATGCTCCATCTGAACAACTGAGATGAGACTGAAGACTTCCCTTTTAAAGGAGCCAAAACATATCCTTTGTCACAGTAAAAACCATGGAACATCGTGTTCATTCTGAATAGACTCTTCCAGACAATATTTTTTTGTTGTTGAAGTTTCAGTAAAATATTAGTAAATTGCAGATGGCTTTTTTTCCCTGTTTTTCTTTTGTTCCCCTTGTCATTGAGTGCAGCTTTTAAGGACAATGTTTTAAGAGATACTGGACGCTTATATATGATGTGGTGTTAATAAACCAACACTTTTTAATGAATGTTGGATGTTTTGCACTTGTATTTTGCACTAAGACCCTTCACTAACCCAACATTTTAGCCACGTTTCCATAACTTTACATCATGATAAGGATTTTATTTTTATGGAATATTTTCATTTTATGAAATGAAAATTTGCTTAGTTTTTAACTGAATTTTTACCAACTCTTCTTGGCACAGAAGAGCAAAAAAAATGAAGATTTTTTTTTTTAAGTATTGAACATTCCACGCAATCTTATCAAAATAATCTTTCTGTATTGTGCCTTCAAGATGGGGTGTTTGATTATTTTTAGTGGCTAACCTTCTCAGATTCCTTAACTGAATGGCACATAAGGACTTGGTGAGCTGTGTGGGCTGGACAACAGCTGACGAGCTCTACTCGTGCGGCGATGACCACCAGATCATGAAGTGGAACCCCGTGACCAGCGAGACCACCCGAGTGCTGAAGCTGCCAGATGATGTTTATCCCATAGATCTGCACTGGTTTCCCAGAGGCATCGGTGGCAAGAAGCAATCCCAGGCTGAGAACTTTGTCCTGACGAGCTCTGATGGTAAGGCAACTTAAAAAAATTTAAAAATAATAAATTGCAAATAGATTTTTGAAGTATTTATTGTTTCGTGTACCCTTGAGTGCTCATGTCAGTCAAATACAAGGCATTATTTGAGGAGCAAGAAGCTTTGAGGATTGCTTGGGATTTTTTTTTCCCTTCTCCCCGAAAAGATTTTTCCCTTGGGGTTTTTTTCCCCCTTCTCTCCAAAAAGATTTTGTACCCAGCCAGATTTTTCTACCTGCACGAATTTTCCTGCACCAGCCATCTCCCCTCTGTGCTAAGGATTCCTGGAACTTGCTGAATCCAATGGAAAAGCAGCATGATGTCCTGACAGGGCTGCATTAATTCCTAGTTGAACTGCAGATGTTTGAAAGCAGAGCAAATGTAAATTTAGTCCCCTTGGGTTTTTTTCTGAAATTTGTCTCTTGGGGGATATTGTTCTTTTATTTCCTACTGACATTGGTCTTGTTGCTATTTTTTAACAAAAATGAAGAATATTTTTGGCTTTAACCTCCAAATTAAGGACAAATCCTAAGTGATTTGACCTTTTTTTTTTTTCATTTTTTTTAATTGACAATTTTGTATTAGGTCAGCATTTAAGAGTCCATGGAAGTTAATGAACAAAACATACATGTTTTACATTCTGTGTTTGGATAGGCTGGGAGTCTCCCTCTGGACATTCCTTCAAAGCTGGGGAGTCATTTTCAGGTTGAGGACAGTTCTGGCTTCAGTACTTAATAAAATAAAGGTCCAGAGATTAAGTTGAATCACTTCTACCTACTCCAGGCG